GCTGCTTGATGTCCCAAGCTATTTCTTCCTTATTTGGTGCGCCTTCTTCCATTCGTTGGTCTTCATTTGGTGGTTGTATGTCTGTGGTTGGGGGGGGGGGTCTGTTTAATAGTTTCTTTAAGTACTCCATCCATCTTTTTTGTTGTTCTTTCCTTTCTGTTATTGATCTACCTTCTCTACCTTTGACAGGTCTCTCCGGTCTTTTGTATCTCCCTGACAGTTTTCTTGTTATGTCGTAGAGCTCTTTCAAGTTGCCCTTCCTGGCTGCCTCTTCTGCTGTCGATGCTAGGCCATCTATGTAGGCAGTGCTACATACAGGTGTTAGGATATTAAGTTTCGCTTCAATTCAGCTGGCAAGATTTTTCCCGGCCGATAACACGGAGCGGTTAAGGGCAGTCTGGGTCTCCTGCCCAAATGAATACCTTAGTTAAAAAATTATCACCGTACTGACGAACTTTAAGAATCCGATCGACAACGTCAATTTTCGGCACGTTCAGCTCACATGACTTGACGCCGTACAAGCTGTAGCTTCAGGAGACGGCTACTTACTATACTTAGTTTTAGTTTGATCGTCAGATATGGTACTGGGGCGTCATTTCAGGTTGTTGTTTTTTTTCATGGGGGGGGGGGGGGGAAGCAAAAAATTTGCGAGGAGAACCAAAACATTGTCGGCTTGTTAAGTTGTTTATTACTGGAGGTGCCAGTTCATAGCGATTTAAATTTAAATAAAACTTGCAAATTCAGGGGGGGGGGCGCAAATTCCCCACCCTGCCAGTGGGTTCCAGTGACGTCATTTCAGGTTTAATTTAGGAGATTTTTTTGGGAGGGGGGCTTGGCAGGCTTGTTGAGCTGTTTATTACTGGAGGCGCCACAGTACTTTTCAATTTAAATAAAACCTGCACTTCAGGGAAATGCCCCTCCCCGCTGCCCTGCCCAAAATCACGTCCCGGCATGGTTCCCTCTCTTTTTTTTTTTTTAAACCACTGGAGTAGATTGTTTGCAATATTAAAATTAATTATTTTTAAATTATAGCCCAGCTCTATTATAGGCTACAAACCTAGCGACAAATTATGAATTTAACTTATTCATCGGTGGCCGATTAGTCAGTAATCGACATAGTCATAGTGGCTAATGGGTGCCGGTGCAATGCAAACCTACGCTTGAGTATTATTAGTAATTTCTTTCCTACAAATTTCTGGTACCGGTAACCGCAATCCTAAAGTGTAAATTATTTGATTTATGACATCTGTGCACAAGCCAAAGTGGCAATGCAATGTTTTAGAAGGAATAAGGAAAAGTCTGTACGGGGCGGGGAGCTTCAATAAGGTTTGTTGATAATAGAGCTGAAAAGGACACCCACGCTAACATTAATGTCTGTGGTGCTAGTAGCCTAAATGATATTTAAAGCCTTACACAGAACAAAGCTAAAAATAATTGGGTATAATTGATGATTTATGGATGATTTACCCATACGTCGTATGTGAGGTAATTACAGATTAACATTTTGTTTCGGGCCACTTGCTGAAAGTTGCTGCATTAATTTAAATTTATGATTTATGACTTATATTTATATTTATATTGACAATATTCATCATTGAAATGAAACTCCTCAGAACGGCGGTCCCAAATTAAAAATATAATAATACTAATTAATTATTACGCTAGAAATTGTCCGGCTAATAGCCTCCGATAATTGGTGAGTTAAATGTATTTTTTTTTAAAGATCGCGTTCTTCATTTGCCTCTTCATCAGCAGGCTCTTCATCATCTCCTGAAAAAAAGGAAGAAAAATGCAAGAGAGAAACAAAAGTTATTCTGTAGAATTGCTGTTTTATATTAATTAGTCTGCAAACACAATTTGACATTAAAAAAAATTATGTCAATAATTATTGGCGGCTATTAGCCTTTATTAGGCTGGTAGACTGACACTTTCTAACGAAAAGTATTATTTTTAATTTGGGACCGCTGCTCTCAGGAGTGCCAACTTATTTAATATTTAGAATTATTTTGTTTTATTTTTAAGTTTAGTTACACAAAGACAAAGTTAATCAAAACTAAACCACAATAACTTATTTGTGACCATTACTTTTTGGCCTATTCAACTTATTCATATATTCAGTTCTGGCTTCAGGTAAACCTTCACTTCAAGTGTCACTTCATTATCATTATTCACTAGTGACTAGCTAGGTGTCTCAGTCCCATTTTAATTAGGCCTAAAGTTTAAATAGTATATTTACTAGTATAGTATTAGAAAAGTTGCTGTGATAACAAGGGGATTGAATGCAAAATACAAACTTTACAAAAAACACGAAGTTACGTCATGACACCAATCAATTGTCTGCATTGGCCAAAAAGAAAAGTTTGTGACACTGCTGGGGAAGAAAAGAAAGGGGGGGGGGGGTTAAATTAAAAATAACTTGTGTGAATTCAAACATTCTTTTTTTTTTATCATAAAAAAAATCATGACACCAATCAATTGTCTGCATTGGCCAAAAAGAAAAGTTTGTGACACTGCTGGGGAAGAAAAGAAAGGGGGGGGGGGGTTAAATTAAAAATAACTTGTGTGAATTCACACATTCTTTTTTTTTTATCATAAAAAAAACCATATAAACCCTGAAATTAGTGAAATTGACAGTAATGTTGAAATTTCTGTTGTGATGGTCTGGATGTATTTTGATACTGACTAAATGTCACTTTTAGTTTTATAAATAGTAAAGTGTGTTTCTGTACTTATTTTTATATCAAAATTTAATTTTTTAGTTTGAAAGTGTGACATACTTTAGGGTGGGAGGGGATTGGGGGTGAGATTTGTGACAGATTGTGAAACAGGGGAAGAAGGGGTTAAGAAATTTCCAAAAAAAGAGTGAGATACTACGCATGCCAAGCAGTAGCATAAAAAAAAAATATACAACACCTAAAAAAACTATGCAGAAAAAAATGAAAAGTTGAAAAAGTATCCATTTTATCTATCAATGACAATATTTTGAATGCATGAATCAAAAATTAATTATCTACCCTTCACCTGCGCACACATTTTTGCATGTTTAGATCATTCATAAATGGATAGATTGCATCGTTTTCTCTTCACGTTTTGATTTTTGTTTAACTGGTCGATGGCAATATTATAAAAATGGACTTGCATGATGAATTTGATGGCATTTCAAATGTTACTAGTCAATTTATTCAGTACTGTAGTAGTATTCCTGAAGTGAAATTATCTATGAAAAATTAATTTGGTCCGTCTTGACTAAGTCATTGATTTTATTGTCCACTTATAACCTTATTTTGCACAGTACTGGAGGGAAATGTCATGAGAATAGAAGTGTTTTTTTTTAAATTCTATGAACTATACACGCACTCTGTGAATATATGTTGATTGGAAGTTTCCAGATGGGGTAAAACAATAAATACTAAAAGAAAATAATATTAAAACGTAACACATAACTTTAAGCCATGCAGTGGTAATAAATAGGAATAATGGGCTAATGCTAGTCATTGATTGATAGTAATATTAAATATATTTTACCTGAAAGAGGCTGGAAAGTAAATAGTAAATTTGAAAAACCACAACAAATGAAAACAAATCTTTGCTGTCCATTGGATATTATTTTTAAAAAATATTTGAGCTTTTAACTTTGAAAATTGAAGATAATAAATAACATACTAACTTTACTAAATCATATTTTTTTGTTGATTAAGGCCTTTTGAAATCATCTGAAAGCCTAATTAGATCATTACATTAACTATAACATATCCAAAATTTGTTAGGTTAGGACTTGTATTTTTGTCAAATAATGTGATACCAAAATTTGTACAATTTACCAGCGAAATACATATTATTGATGTTTTTTTTTTTGGGGGGGGGGGGTAAATAAATTGATTTACACTGGAGATCCAGCTTATTACCCCGTTATTACTTATTTTAAAACATTGTTATATTTAATCACTTTAACGAGGCCAAATAAATTTTGGCCTAATTTAATTTTTCTTTCTGTTATAGTTACCAAATTTAAATGTAACATATTTCAGTATGGAAGAGGGAAAAAAATTAGTAATAACATTAATAGTTTTATTCCTGGGTTAACCGGCTTCATAATACAATTTTTCGTCACAGTTCTTTAGCAATGAGACATGGTAGAACCAACATCTGCAATTGGTAAGAAATCACCAGAATGTCAAAAGTTTCTATTTGGACCATGGACTATATCATCCTGGAAATCTCACATACTGGAATCAGAAGGAGCACAAAGGGAAAAGTAAACTTAAAATTAATACTAGCTTGTAGTATTATACATGTTGCTTTAAACAGCGTAATTTTATTTGCTTAGGCTTAGGCCTGCTCATTGGGTAAGAATTAGATGGAAGTATAACATAATCGTTTGTCTTTAAAAATATTAATATTTTTTAAAAAAACAAGATTTGAGCAAGAATTAAAGCTGCCTCAACTACCAGAAATGGTTTTTGCTGAAAACTTCCTACGTATTGATCACCAGTCAGGTTGTGGAATAGATTTTAATGCCTTGGATGCCCTTCGTTTAGTTGATCCTCACTCTGACCCAATTAAGGTGGCAGCATCAAAAGAATGGCAGAATGCAAGGTATAGTAGATCTTGTTTGAACTTTGCAATTAAAGTAATTCACAAATCTGTGTACTAGCTCTTTTTTTTTTTTTTAGTTAGCTCAACAAAGTTAATATCATAATCTTATGACAATGAAACCTTTTTTTTTTGTACTTTTCCCCAAACTCCCATAAATAAATACCCTCTTACTCTGACCCAATTAAGGTGGCAGCATCAAAAGAATGGCAGAATGCAAGGTATAGTAGATCTTGTTTGAACTTTGCAATTAAAGTAATTCACAAATCTGTGTACTAGCTCTTTTTTTTTTTTAGTTAGCTCAACAAAGTTAATATCATAATCTTATGACAATGAAAACTTGTTTTTATGTACTTTTACCCAAACTACCATAAATAAATACCCTCTTTTATTTTAGCTGTGATCTATCTTAGCAATTGATTTAATGACATCATAATTGAAGCTTAACATTTCTTATTTTATTTACACAATTGTTTGCGTCTAATTAATCTCCTTAAAAGCTTTTTCGCAGTCCAGTTCTTTTATAATTAGTTATTTAATCTGAATCTCAGTTTTAAAAAAATTAAATTTGTGGTACTTTTGTTGTGTTATTTTTATTTGCCTTTGCTAAATGCTTTACATAATCAGAATTTATTGTAACATAATTATTATTAAATTTACTTAAGACGTTTAATGGAAAGTAGTACTATTAATAAATATTTTCATTTTAATTTATATTGCCTTCCTTTAACACTTGAATAAAAATCAATAATCATTTACATTAATTACATTTTTGTTTCCTTTAAACCTATAATTCCCTTAAAACAAATTTTGAAATTAAAATTTGCTAAATTCTTTCAAATTTTAAATGGTTTATTCATATCATTGCTCTTAAACATTCATTCTAGGTCTGAATGTCAACACATAAAGAATGTTGTTTCTCCATTTGATTGGACCTTTACTACAGATTACAGAGGAACAACATTTCAAGAAACACCAAACATTTTGAAAGTATGTCTTGCAAAATTTGAGATACAATAAAATTTTGGTCTTTCCATTTAAACAATTCAAATTTTAAAACACAATCACTGAAAACTTAAATTAATAATTGTATTTGACTGAAAGAGGTTACAATTTTTGTTTTTATTTCTGTTTAAGAGCCCCTGTTAAATTACTTTTAATTCTCTTTTGCTGTCTTTGACTGAACCTGCAATGTTTGTGTATGGTTTTGCTTTGTGTTATTATAATGTACACTTACATTTCTTAATATTTTTTATTTTTGTTTTTTCCAGATTGTTCCCACATTGGAACGTATAGACATTGAAAAATTAAAGCAGAAGGAGCCCATACATTTTTATGAGGATATTTTATTATTTGAGGATGAGCTTTCTGATAATGGAACTTCATTGTTGAATGTTAAAGTGGTATGTTCCTGTAAATTTACTTTGTTTAGGTTAATGAAATTCATAATTTAAAGATTAACTGTTAAATATTGTTAAAGTTCTATCATAAATTTGTTTGAAAAAAATTGTGTAAAGTATATTAATTTATTCAAAAAATGTGGTGTCAGTATCAGCCTTGTTACTGTCAAGAATATAACAGTGGTTATTAATGTCACCTACAGCAATATTAGGGTCTTGCCGACTTTGTTTTGTGAGTTTTTAACCAAGGTGCGATTGACCCTTACATTCTAAACAACATAGTAAAATAATTTAAAATGTGGATACAAATTGTTTGATTTCTTAGGTTTGATACACCAGTGAGCAAAATTTTTAATATATTTTGTGGGTTAGGTTTGTGTCAGGACATTAAGTAACTGCTAAGATTTGAAGTAATTTCTCTGCTTTTCGCTTCCATTCAACACCTGGCTCTCACCTTACACCTTATGTCATCACACAGACTTACGAATGAAAGTAACTATTCTAATTTTTCTTTGCTCAATTTTCATATGGACTTTTCAGAGAGTGATGCCCAGTAGTTTTTTCGTTCTGCTCAGGTTTTTTGTGCGAGTGGATAAAGTGTTGATACGAATTAATGATACAAGATTGTACCATGAGGTATGTTAGATTTGAAAATTAATCCTAGGTTACATAACTAAATTCTCATTTTAAAAAAAAAAAAATTTTAATTGCTTACATATGACTAACAGATAATTATTTTTTTCTATTCAGGCAGGCTCTAATTATGTATTGCGAGAATTTACTAGTAGGGAAGAAGCAACATGCCATATACCAGTAAGTCTTGTTAATTGAAGGCCTTTAACTAGTTTTAATCAAATTTTGACCATTATGGAAATAAAATGAAGTATAAACTCATAAAATCTTATCAAAATTGTAGCATAAAATAATATTTAAAGTTGGTGACTTGTCCTAATTTTTCTCAACATCACATGACTAAGAAAAACAAAATCTTACTATAGAAAATAACCTTTGTGATAAATTTTTCAATTTTTTTTCATACATTTTAATTTTAGGAATTTGATTCTGTTGAGTAATAATAAAATGTATTGTCCACCAATTTACTTCAATCTTGTTTTTTCAGGTTGCTTTACATACAGATCCTAATGCTGCTTTTGAGCACCTGAAAGTTACTAAAGAAGTTTTTGAAAAGTTGGAATTTCTTTCTGAGACATCTTGATAAATTTAAATTTAGTAAAAAAAAATTCAATATAATTTTTGTTAACAATTTTTATGAATTTTTTTTGTTTTTTCATTTAAATGTGTACACTGTAATTATAATTATAATTTGTTGTGAAAATATTGCATACATCATAATGTAGAAAAAAATCAATTTCAATTAAGTCCCAAAAATTCATTGGTTCTCTTAACTTTTTTTTCGTATGTTTCAGACTGTTGGATGATAAGAAAAAATTGTATGTTGTTGTAAATTTTAACAAACATTTATGTTCAGTCACTTTTAATTCATTGTGATTAGTTTATGGTTCTCAGTGTTTAAAAAGTGTCCAATATTATAGATATGCAATGGTTAGATTCACTGAATGGTGAAACCCATTAGGAGTACCGTAAATAATATTTTTCAAACATCTTTTTGTTTGAAAGAAATTATATAACTTTTCTTTTCCTGATTTCTTGCATGTGGGGAAAAATGTGATAGCTCCTTCCCACTCCACCCAAGTTCACGTTAGATAAAGCTGTGCACAAACTGAAACTTTAATGGCTTAGGATTAATAAGATTAAAACTTTTCTTATCATGTTCCCCATTTAGAGTGTCATTTACAAAATGTACTCCAATGTCACCTAATACAATTATTCAATTCATATGATTTGAGCTACCTTAATAAGAGTTCCATTAGTTAATTAAACCTTTAACCTAGCATTGTAAAATGACAGTTTCACACCAGTTTTTTTTTTTTTTTTTTTTTTAAATTTTTTTTTTTTTAATTTTTTTTTTTTTTAAAGAGTTTAAGCAATAAATACTAGGACTGAGATAGGTATTATAAGATAATCCCCGGCGGGTCCGGGTGTTACCAAAAAAAAAAAAAAAAAGAGTTATCTCAGATAAAGGGGCCCAAATTTGTGATGTGGAAGTGGAAACAAATTAAAATGTTTTTTGAAGTGCTTTGAATTTAAAAGTTTTTCACCCATGAGATGTCACTGCGCCCCATCATGCAAATCGCAAGTTTCACATTTGTTAAAGCATTCAACTTGCATATAATGAAACAACAATCGCACCCCTCTCTTTTTCCTTTTAAAAAAAAAAAACATGGTAAAAATCTCATGTTTTAGATCATTTATATTTTAAGTCACCCAAAATGACTCACATAATGAAAATTTCAGTTTAGACAAGGATTAACTTATCTGTATGCAGTTATTGTAAGACACATTATTATTCTATATATGGCATTCTTCCGTCTTTTGTTTCATTGCTGTAAAACACAAAAGAGATGGAGGGAGGCTTACAGGCTGTAGAGACAGAAGTTACTGTTAAAGTTGACTTGCTTTCCAGGCTAAGAAGGCAAGGGGTGACATGATTGTTATTTTCTTTACAGGGATTTTTTTGCTGTAATATTAAGGGCTAGAAAAAATTTCAAGTAACATCCATGCTAATGGTAAGGTAAATAAATATAATTGAAACAAAATTTAATTTTTGTGTCATTTAAGTTGGTCTGCAGTGAAAGGAGAATATGTTGCTGTTGTTACCTTAGATAATGTATTTTTTTTTAAAGTCTTAAGATAGTTAGAACTGTATCCCAGTGGTTCCAAAACATTTTTGATTCTCATCACCCTTGCTGAATCCAGTTTTTCACAGGCACCCTGGTCAATATTTAAGGAGTACACAGCAAGATTGCAAATACAATTTTTTTAGAGGGTTAGTTTTTTATGGATTGTAAATCAAGATAAAAATGCATTTGGTTTAAAGGGTTAGTTTATGTAAAATTACAAAACATGTTAGTGAGGTGGATTTTTTTTCACAAAAATTATTTTCAAATCTTGGGATCAAAGACACAGCCATTCATTTCCTTTTGCACATTTGGTGCAACTCTGAGCTACAAAAAATCCAGCTTTGCACAAATAAGTTGCAAATTGAATTAATTTTTTTTTAGGGTTACTGCTCAGAGGGGATGCTCATCTTTTACTGATATCCAAAATTCAGTTATTTTGTTTTCAGCATATTGTCAAATGAGAAATATAAACTTTTCCTCTTAGACAACAGTAAATTCAAATAGCACTTGCATTATTTATATATCTATAAACTTTTATTAGGTAGAACTCCATCTTGTTACAATTAATTAATAAAAGGTTTGATTCTGAAAATAGTTAAGTGAGTTACTGAATTAAAAATACAATTTTGAAAATTCTGTACTACCTTCATGTAGTCACTGTGAGGCTGCCCTAGCCCCCTATTTTATATTGAAGTCTTGTATGAAAATCATTAACTGTCCCATGACATGTGATCATTTCTCTGCAGTGCAGTTAAAGATAAGTCATATTGATAACGTGTGGTAAATAAAATTTTAATTATTTTGGACAAGGTTTATTCAATCTTCAAGTGTCTTTTTGCTGAAGATAAAAGATTTGCAACCTCATTAAGAATATAAATAAGAGAGCAAGTCAGAGTAAATTATAAACATTACTACTTTATTTTTTTAAAATGCAAAATTAAAATTGTGTGGCTTTATTCATACCACTACCTTACACTACACACACTTTACAAAAAAGTGATGTGAAAAAAAAAAAATTTTAAAAATAAAACTTTCATGCCTTAATAGTTTAATTAAAACTGATGTAATGTAAATGTATTGTGAAATTGAACTTTGTCATTTTAGTTCTTTCTAGTAATTTAGATGGTTCTAAGTTTAATCTTGCCACAACCAACAATATAAAAAATATATCCAGAAAGACTATTGTCTTTATAAATAAATTGTAGATATAAATATTAAATAATTGAAAGAGAAAAAGAGCAATTACAGCAAACAAATCAAAATTAAATGGGGAAATGTGTTAATTTTGTGTAAATGTGGATTGAAATATATAAATGTGAAGAGATTATACACCAGCTTGTGTCCGGTGATGACACAAGATTTTGGTGTTTTTGATTCACAAACATCAAATTAACTCTACGAACATAACAGGCATTGTGTGAAAGGAATATTTCACTTGCATACTGGTAAAAATTTATGTGACTACAACTTTTTTTTTTTTCTTTTGTTTACTTACTCTGCTTCTAATGATTCCTGAGACAGAATTAAGTGAATTACTGCAAGTGAAAGTAATTTGATTCTACCAATAAATTATGTTCCACTTAACCTGCCACAGTAAGAATAACACTTGAATTTAAAAGCAAGTACACATTTTCAAAAGCTGCTTTAGATTTAGATCCATTTAAATTTAACTCTCCATGCAATTACAAATTACAAGAACAAATACAAAGCTAATAAATTTTTAATGCAAAAAAAAAATATTTAGAGCCACGCTAGCAAAATTAGCCAGTATAAATTTAATAACTATTGCAATAAATATTTGAACAAGCCAAAAATTACTCCTAGCATTGTTATTTTTAAAAAGCTCAAATAACCCACCAAAATATTTGTTTGAAAATGTAATCAGTGATAGGGTTGGTTGTTAAAATTGTGATATCTTGCAGTTTGCAAAACATAAAATGATTTATAATTTAAAACTGGAACTTTACCTTTTAACCCCAGATTTTTATTCCAGTACCTTATGAAAAAAAACATCATCAAAATATTTTGACTAAAGTTAAAGAGTTACATTTTTCACAAAGCTCATCACATATTTTGGAATATGTCATATATCAAAAGTAAATAAATAGCGTATTGTTATAAGTTAGATTAAATTACAGTATCGAAGTGCACGCACACACATACTTAATAATGGAGTGGATTTAGTCCACCAAGCAAAAATGTAATAGGAAAAATAGTTCAAACAAATTGTATAGACTTAAAACAAATCAATGGATTCATATGATTTCCATTTTTGACTTCAACTTTTATGAAATATTAATAATTAAATAAAATTAAGAGCAGATTTACATAGTGAACAATTTAGGTGTAGAGTAGAGTTCTGAAACTTATAACTAAATAGAAAAAAAAAATTATTTGAATAGTTAAGCCAAAATATTTTTTGGAAAATCTTTTTTTTTTTAAATTAATTTACTCTAACTTTATTTGACCTTTAAGGAACCAAAATAATAATAAATTTAGAGCACAAGAGGGTTCTAAAGAATTTAAATTAAAATAATTCCCCTCCCCCCACCCCCTCTCTTTGAGATAAAATATTTTAGTTTCAGATGGTTTAGTTTCAAAATTTTCAATCAAGTATTTTTATAATATATATTTTTGTTTAAATGATAAAGAAAGCTTAAATATTCCTTTTGATTTTTGTTTTAAAACTCTAAATTTATTTGTATAGATTGAATCACATGGAATATTTCTATTTATGGGCAGCTTGTTTTTCATACAGGACTTCTGACATTAAATAACTGCAAAATTTCATTTTTCTAATAATGAGCTTCTGGGTAACATGAAATGCACATTTGAATTCATGTTTTATGTAAAAAGAAAAAAAAACATCTTTTTTGATTAAACAAGTTACCAACATCCCATTAATACTGGATGACATTGGAAATAATCGGTAAGAGTGAGGAGTAATTTGAAGTCTTGTGCTAGCCATGATGAAAACGCAGAACCCAATTTATATTTTTTAACGGGTAAAAAAATAAATATGTTACTTGATACTTTAAAATAGCAACATTTGAAAAAAACACTAGGATGTTACTAATAGAATGATAACCTTCAAAATATGGTAATCCAAATTTCATTCTGAATGTTGCAACAGTTGTCTTTTCTAACCAAAACATCTTAAATATTACAGAGGACAATGATTTGGTGTCACATAAATCTAAAACAATTGGTTAAAAAAAGAAAGTGCCTTCTCAAAGAGGGTTAACAAATTATAAATAAAAGTGTTAAGAAGAAAAAACCACTATGAAAAAACTAAGTTATGCATTCCATAAAAATGCCAAGAACTTGTGTACCAATTTTTTATTTTTAAAAATTATCTTTAATGGAAAGGGGAAAAAAATAATGTAATGAAACAAATGAAAGACATTTTTTTTTGAGTGACAAGTATTTACAAAAAATATTTTTAACTAGAGATTGTAAAAATTCTTTTTACAATTTTATGCTAGTTGGAATGAAATGAAATATTCACCATTTACTAATGCCAATATGATGTGTATAATATACATTTAAATATATCCCTTTAAAGATGGACAATGCTTAATAACGATGGGCTTTAACTCTTATTATGGAATGATGAGTAATTATGACAAAAATGTAGTCCAACAACCAAGGTGATTTCAAATAAAATATAAGTAAAAATATAATGGTTATCTAAGACTGATTCTGAAATAACTGCCTTTCCTTTCTGTCGTTTATCAATCTTTTTCCAGTACAATAAAAATGTGTAAATATTCATTTAGAAAAAGGACAGTGACCATTTTAATTTTACCTAAACCACTGAATTCTCAAAATTCAATCTTTATGGAAAAGCTTTTAAAATTTTATTTTTAAGCGCCATATACATCTCCCTGGATACACTGGTATTTTCATTTATCCTGGGATATCTGGATCTTTGTTTGTAAAACCAGCACTCTTCTATTTTAGAAAATATTTGATTATCTAAAGTATCTTTTTTTCTAAATCAAAAGTAACTTAACTTTACATACTGTAACTCTAATCAAAACTAATTTTACTTCACACACTAAAGGAATGGATATGAACATCGAATCCAATTGAAAACATGCTATGAATAAATCAATATAATAAAAATTTCAATGCTGAGGTCTTTTCATGCTCTATCATAGCTTTGATAAGAGGTCAAGGCATTACTTAAATTTAATTAAAAGCATACATATTTGATAAAATAAAAGATTTAGAAGTGTTGATAACACAAATAGAAAAAAAAAAATCACTCAAGGAAACAAGCTAATGAAATTGAGCTAATTTGTTTTTTTTTGTAGCAGACACTTTTCAACAACTTAATATTGATCTATAAGTGACGGTAGATTTTATTCAAATTACTGTTGTTAAACCAAAATCAGATTTCCAATTATGTTTGAAAATGATTTAAAAAAACAACAACTTGATTATAATAAAATCTAAATATTTTGAATAATTTTGTAGTGAAAATTACTGAGATGTTATGCAGGTGGGCCAAAGAGAAATGTAAGTGTTATGTTAAGTGGAAATTGATGAGGTAATTTAATAAAAAGTTGTAGCAACCTAGTTCCATTATAATAGGAAAAAATAAAGATTAAAGAATGAACTATTTTTAACTATCATTTAACTTGTAAATGCACTACTAATTTTGCAATCTTAGTACCTAGTGGAAAATCAAAAACAAGCAAATGGCATTACATGTCACTGCTTCTTGTAAATGAAATTGAATATACGAGTTACCAGAGTTTCTATAGAATATCTTCAACAACTGTTATGAAAATGCCTAATATATTTATATTTCTATAAAGGCCAATTAAAAACAAATATTTCTAAATGAGTTTGCTAAAAATAAAGTACATTATTATTAACTTTCTAATATAATTAAATAAACAACTTTTTCTTTCCTTTCACAGATTAAAATAATCAAATTGATTATAAATAAATTATAAAGAACAGTTTCCTAACCTGGTGTGTGTGCACCCCTAGGGTGTTCAAGGTGGCATTTTAGAGTTGCGAAGAAGAGTAATTATAAATTGGGATGTTCAGGGGTTGACAAAAACAGCTCTACATCATTTTACCCCCTATTCAGTGATGATTAAAAACCTAAATTTTTCAATTTCTCATATAAGATGGTATTTTTGCCTCTTGTAAGACTTAAAACTTCTGTAGATATTCTTCAATGCCTTCTTTCTCTCTCTCACATATCGGCATAATAATAGATGTCTTTCTTTCCAAGTCTCTCCCCAACCCCATTTATCGGTGTGTGTGATTTAGTCAAATAATTTTTTATGGGTGCAGAATAAAGAAAGAGTTCAAAACCCTGCTAGAGAACAATCTTTTTGCCTTAATAAAAGTAAGAAATATAATTTTACACTAACGTCAAATATTTAAAAAGAGACATTCTTAATAATGCACAACAAGTAGTTAAAAACAAAATTCCATTAGAATATTAATAAAATTGATTGATAGCACTTTACTAAACAGCTATGTAGTAGAAAGAGACAAAATCATGAAGTTACATTTATTCACAGCAAAATATGAACACTGAATATTAAAATGAGTCAACTCTTATTTAAAAAAGGACTCATTTTTAGAGATCTATCTAATCACAGCATTTTATTATTTGTGAAATATCAGTCAAGACTTTATAATAATTAAACTGTGAGCCACATTTCTCCCTTTTATACTATATTGTATTGGAACTTTTAATTAACTTCTGCTCTGAGCTCATTCCAAATTAGTAAATATTTAAATGCATAACCTTACCTATAAAATTATTACATTAACTATGAATTCAAATGGAAAAAGGGAAAAACAAAAAAAATAGAAAGAATTCGAATTAAAAGTGTCCAAATATGTTCTTTTCATTTACAATGAATAGCCAATATAGCCTCAGCCAATATCCTGTGCACTGTTTTATGTCTACAATTTAACTAGCATTATTCATAAATGATCATTTTAAAAAGTATATAGCATATTTAAAAAGTATATCTATATTTAGATCTGTCAGATTCTCAATGAAAAAGACTGTTAGGAAAAGTAGGTTTTTGTTTTTTCTTCATTTTTAATTTGCATACCCAATAGTATTTAGTAGCTTATAAAACCTGAATAGTTTCCTAATTATTTTTCAAACAATGATCCTTAAAATGACTATTGAAAATGACGACGTCGCTCCCTAAATACAAGCAATTACAAATAAATGCATTTTCTAATAATCCTCATACATGTCTATTATTCACAAAAATATTTTCTCTTTATACATTAGAGGTTAATTTTGACATGGCTCTGATCAATGCCTTATTTTCTTCTTGAAGTTTAATGTTGTCCTCATCCAAACCATCACATTCCTGCAAATTAAAAAAGGTAAAAACAATTAAAATTAATTTTAGAGTTTACCCTAAACTTGCTAATTCTGAGAATTCAGAATTTTGATACAAAATGAAGTGGAATGATAATTTTTTTGAATGTTTAGTTTAATCATAATTTGTTTAAATCATAACCCTAAGTTCAATTTGAATATTTATTCCAGAGCTCATTGATGTGTTATAACATTTTAATCAATGAAAAATCCATGCAAAAACAAAGTAGATTATCCATTCATGGTCAGATGGCACTTTTAACATAATCCATTTAAATTTCATCTAATAATATTTTGCTTGGTCTTTGCTTCGCCTTAACACATCTTATAATTTTGTCATTACCTACATGAATGTGTGTGGAAGATAATTAGCAATTAATTTCAGTGCGGAAGTTTGAAATCTGCTGATTGGATTAATTTAATGATTTGTAAAAATTCAATGATTCTTAAGGTCTTGAAAATAAAAAGTAGAAAAGGATGTTATTCATCAAATAAGAACGACAAAATTTGCAAAATCTATAAATATATAAAAACTTATTTAAAACATTTATTTCATCACTAAAGTTTTGTCAAAACTTAAAATGAAAACAAAAAGCGCTGATAAAATGTTGTCATGAATAGTTCACACCCAAATAATATCTAAAATGAAAGCTTAACTAAATACAAATAAATAATTACAAAGCATACTTCTCGGCACATGCATAAACAAATATTTAAAACTATTTTTAAAAATTAACACGCACACAAAAAGTATTACTTTTCTTTTATAGATCACATAAAAAATGTAAGTAAATGCACATATTGTGCAGAACTACCAGTATTTTAGAAACTCATTTTCATAATTCTTTAAAGAGGGGAGAGGGGGAAAAAAAAATCCTAGAAAATAAGGCTGGAAACCACCATATACAACACTGAAACATTTATCTTACTTGGTACTAACTCTTCTGCTTAATTGCAAGCATGATAAATGGGAAGACAAATGCGGGAGTGAGGATGCATGAAGGAAAAAGAATCATGAAGCTCACAGAATGAGACACAATGGCACATCCAAACCTTCTCTCATTAGTTATTAACTTTCATAAATGTTTCACTTTTCTAAATTACTATTAAACAAAAAAATAACCAACTTCTTTTTAAAAAACATCTTAAAATTATCAGGATATATTAAAAATCATCCAAACTTTCTTTCCTATATAATCAACAGTTTATTTGCTAAAGGAAGGGAGGCTGACATTGTACTAAATTAATCCAATACAAATACTTACATTGTTTAACAGTTCTATTGCTTTCTCCAGTTCAGTAATTTTTCTGTCTTTCTCTTCTAGCTGCTGCTGTAACCTTTTATTGTCTTCCCTTTCTTTCTCCAGTTGCTGAAAGGCACAAAGCATACAAATTAAAAAATGGGGGCAGGACTCATTTGTCAATGTAAAGGGCTTTGAAGGAGACAAGAGTGAAAGAGAAACAGACAAGTCAACTCAGGCTTGAGATGTATCAACCATAATTGGATTTATGACACACATCAAAGCTAAACACAAAGAATGTTTGACCAGTGAAGCTTTAAGGCCCTGTATAAAGTCATTTCCAAAGCTAACACATGCATGTATGAGTATGGGTGTGTGTGAGTGCATATTTATATATTCATGTCTTTAGAATATTTTTAAGACCAAAGACTAAAAACATTTCACCACAATTTGAAATAAATTCAAATATTTATAAAGGCTAAATGTATGTGTGTATAATATATGACCATGTTCTCTATAGAAATCCACACTCTATCAAGCAACCTATCCCAAAATGAATTTTTAACAAAAATATTTATAAAAGGCATATACAAAATGTGTGATCTGATAGACATCAGGCTCTGGTAGATTCTGCAGTGGTTTAAGTTCAATTGTTACGTATTGGTCAAAAGTTGAGGGGCAGCTAGGGCTCCAAAAAAATAATAAATGAAAATCAAATATTACTGTATTTATTGGCGTAAAACACGCACTTTTTCTCCCTGTAAATAGGGGGCATATGATGTGTGTGTGTTATACACCGATATAATGTTAAGGACCCATAGTACATACCGCATAGCGGCGCGAATTGTGCGTGTTATACGCCAATAAATAGGTACTTATTGTGTAATGTATTATCAAATATTAATTATAGATGTATGACCACACAATAATTGAATGAAATAAGGAAAATATTTGTTAATCATAATCTTTAGGATGTTAAAACTTAATTTGAATCCCTTTTTTAAAGCTGTCTATAAGTAACTCAATGAAAATAGGTAAATTATACACATTAAATAAATTGCTCTAATGTAGGGTGTGGGTTGGTTGGGGGTTAGGAGGTATTGATTTTGGTGGGGGCCTTAGTTGTTAAGAGGTAGAGCTGGGGTGGTCGCTTAAACATTAAATCCAGCTCGCAGACCTGGCACTGGATTGATGTTTTTATAAAAATTATTCCAGTTGATTTTCTAAATGAACTCTGTGTAAATTTTTTAAGCTCATCTCCAATGACACATTATTAATAGACACCCTTTATTCTCTAAATAACAAGCCCAGAGATTTCACAAGCATTGGAATATTACAGATAAAAATAGTATCATAGCGTTTCCAAATAATTTGAGTTATTAATGATATTTTTAAAAACTCTGAAATAAAAATGATGCTCACCATATAACTATCTACACTACTGACTAATTATCATATGTTATCTATTAATCATTATGTCACAATGATAATTTAAATTTATTTAAAAGATAATTCAATTTATTGCATAGCATTATCATTTAGTTATCTTAATATAATTATTTTAAGTTTATTAAAGCTGTGTTCAACTTATAGTTTTCAGCTCTAGATTTCTAGAAAATTATCATTGCAGCCCGCCGTATAAATAAACAATTTCCATGGGGCTTTCTGCAGAAAAAGGTTGTCCACCACTTAGGTGTAGAGTGGGTGGTGGTTGGGGAGAGGTAGTGAAGGCATAGGGTATTCTACGGAGGCAGATGGTGAGGAGTGCCAAAATTAAATGATACTCCAGAAAGCCACAAGCAGTATCTCATATCATTCCATGTACTCAAATGTTAATGTCAAATATTAATTTTAAGATGACAGACCCACCAACGGCCTATTAGTCATTGGCATTTTAATGATTAATATTTAATCATGTAGCATCTAGTAGAGCAGGGATAGACACATTTCTGGTATTAGTGTGTCAAAGTAAGACTTCTAATTCATTCAGGGTGCCAATAACTTGTAACTCTACGATCCAAGAAGCATTTTTATTCATTTATAATTATTTTGTTAGTCTGTCATGTGCCAATGAAAATTGCTATGCGTGGAAAGTCTGGAACATGTAGAAGAGGGTATGAAATGTATCTGGCACGTGTAGAAGAGTGTATGAAATGTAGCAAAGTCAGAAGAGTACCATGTCCGGGATGGGGGTGGGGAAAGCTGTTTAATATCCCCTGCTTCCATGCCAAGTCAATGTAGCCATAACAAGACAAAAAAATTCTATAAATGAAAGACATTTAAATAAATGATTTTAAAACATCTGACACAGACATCACAAAGAACAGTTTAATCTAGATTGTCTAACATACCTTCTCTAGCTGTGCGATGGTGTCACTCTGTTGTTGGGATACTGAAGGAGTAATTGTGGATGAAACAAATGGCCTTGGCGTTTGATAGCTGGCCAACCTGCTATGAACAGAACTAGTGCCTGTCAGTGCACTACTACCATCTCTGTCCTTAAATCTTGAAGCACTTGAAACATAAGATGATGGGAATGAAGACTTTTCATTTCTGGCTGTTGCAGAGTTACCATCTCGTAAAAAAGAGAATGTAACAGGCCTGGGGTGAACAGGTTGGATCTGGTTGGCTTCAGCCGATGCTGTGCATGTGCTGTTGGCATTAATCCTGCGTGGTGAGTCCGACTCTGGAGTTGCACCATTGTTACCTGTGGAGTTTCCTGTGGTGGATCGTGGTGAATCAGCATCACGGTAACGAGATAGTATAGAGGAGGTGGAGGAGGACGTTGAGGGAGCATATGTTCTGGTTGTGGAAGAGTCTGCGTCACTGGATACATTGCTAGATCCAAACTTAAGTGCACGATTAGACTCAGGGGAGTACTTTGAGCTAAATGCACTGCTACCGAATCTGCCTCCAGCACCTGCTCCCTGCTGTTTGCCTGGTAAATTTTGAGAAATTTCTGAAGACTCGGAGCGACCAATCAGAGAAAGGTTTGTCTCAGAGTGACTGACTGTACTGTCATAATCCTGGTTATCCTCAAGGTCTGCCTCAAGATCTGAGGGGCTGTTCATGAAAACAAACAAAAAGCAAAAAAGAAGCTAGCATTAACTAGCCAACCAAATTGAAATGGTTTATTTGTTGTTTTTGTGTGTTTTTTAAAATAGTAATTGTTCTTGAGAAATGTCAATATGCACATTTTAAGTTGTAGCTACAGGTTAAAACCATAATATCGATGGCAGTTTGATTATAATAAACAGTACAGAATATTAATTCATTAATTTTTGTTAAAAGCAGCACAATATAGCATAAGACACATTACTGGCAATATTTACCTTTTATTGCGCCTTTGATACATTTGGTTTGATGAGTGTCTACTCTAAAACATATTTAAAAAAACTTTATTAACTCTTTGCAATCTTAATTAAATCTACTTTAATTATATCAAACAGGTCTAGTTTAGTTTCACTAATGCCATTTTGAACCAGTCGTTAGATGGTTGATGTGTAAGTGCTGTTTGAAAAATACAAACTGTTAAATATGAGAGAGAGAATATTAGAGCGAGGGAGTGATAAAGGAGTGGAAATGAGAAGGAAAGATATAGAAATTTGGAGAGGGAAAGGGATATGTTGGGGAGGGAGGGGGGAAAAAAAGGGCATGTGAGCATGTGGATAAATGAAGTGTGGGGAGGAGGAAGAAATGAAAGGAGATAAGATAGGAAAGAAGGTAAGAAATGGAAAGGGAGGATTGCAAAGCGTGAGAGGGAGGAAGAGAGACAAAGAGTCAAAGAGTGAAGATTATGAGGGGAGAATGAAATAAAGACAGTGAGAGAGACAAGGTTTGTGTTGAATGTTTAAACATTATTTCCCTCCATCAGCATGTAAGAAGGAAACATTTTAAGTTTCATTGATTCAAATACCGGTAGATATAAGTCATAACTTAACCAGAAGTTAAACAATTCCACAATTTGCCGGTTTTAAAATGTGACCCATTACATTTGAAATTATAAAAAGAGACATAAAGCTTTCTATTATACAGGTTCATTAAGCTTTGAGTGCAACGTCTTGTATTAAACAAGACTAGACACTTGACTGAACATGGCATAAATATTAGTGGACCAGGACAAGCTATTTATCTCCAGGTATGAATGATGTCATTAAACAAGAATGTCCTCTAAGAGTTATTTTTAGGAAGTAAGTGAAATGTCCTTGGTGCTTCTCCTTGGTTAAGGGGTCTGGACTCTTATTAAATGTAAATACTAACATAATAAAAAGGCAAGATTTCTTTTAGGTAAATAAACACAATGATGATAAAGATATAATTTAATCACAATGTAGAATAGTTAGAATAAATTAGCCTTAAATGCTATTGTTAATTAACCTTTTATGATAATTCAAATCTTTATAAGAAAAAAAAACAATTGTTAATTACCGGTAACCTTTTAAATGATAATTCAAATCATTATAAGAAAAAACCCCACTAAATTTTTGTTCATGAATGTCATGATAAATTAAAAAGCAAACTGAACTATTTTATATATACCAGTAATATTATTTAGTGTTACTTAAAAACCCTACTAGAACTTTCTATTAGTTTACTACTTATTTTTTGTGAACAACTTAAAGTCAGCCACAGATTTTTGTTTATCTTGAAAAATGACACTGATATTCTGTTTTGACTTTTAGCTTCCCCCATGAATGTGCCAAACCCAAATCTGTGCAAACACACCCACCACACACACAAAAACAGCACTCTCCACTGCTCTACTATGTTTACTACTTTAGAACAGGTAAGGACGGCATAATCAATCTCTCTCAGATGACACCTCAACAACCTTCTTTCCTCTTCAAGTAGAGAGTATATGCATATTTAAACTGATCTAAATTGTCGTTTTGAAAAACTCCTTTCATGGTTGGTCTTTACCCCACCCCCCCCCCCCGTCACAAAAATAATGCATTTATTATGTTCAATTTTTTGTAATGTGACAAAAATTTAAAATACTCACACAAAATAAAGTAATACATTTAAAAACAAAATGAAACAAAGATTTGATGCAATTTTTTTAGTTACTTTTAGAATTCCAAAGATTGAAATACACAAGTTTTAATTCTTAATACTATCTCAGTTAAAAAATCAAGTTATGCCATTTTCTGTCAACCCTGTGCTTTACTTTTATGATGAACAGTAATAATCCCTAAGCTCCCAACTTAAACATAAGTTTTTGTTATTAAAACTTTCTAGGGTAAATAATATTCATTCTTTTTGTCTTTAACAAACTTGTACTCTACAGTCTACAGAGAGAAGATTTTCTAATATGCAAAATGCATCTTCTTTTCAATGTATAGTTTGTATGATGGTTAAGTAATATTGCTTTATAAAACTTAGGTGAAAGTCACAAATAATAATATGCATCACTCAAACAAATATTCCAAATTTATGTTTTGTGTGAGAAGGACATCATTAAAATTGAAAACGATTTTTTTCCCCCTCCAAAATATAAGAGAACTCATTAAAAAGTATGGATCATCAGCAAGAAAAGAAACAACACAATGGACTGACAAAATACTGTAATCTGGTCTAAAAATTGGAAAATATATCTTCGAAAAAGATTTGATTTTATTTAACTTGTATCTTCATCTTATCTGGCCTCTCTGATTTCTTCAAAGATGCAGAGTTATCAAACAATTTTCAAGGACAATTACATATGGAGTAGAATCCTTGATATATCATTAAATAGGCTAGCTATCAAACAGTTTCAGAATAGCTCTGTAAATAAGCCTTAAGAGACATTTTTTATTTCTTTTTCACTTTAAATGCCTATATAACTATAAGATAAACCATAATGGTTGAGATTTACTTAAAGCAGAAATAAGAGAGTATATGTTCAATTTTTGTGCTGGACTTGAGAATCTTGAATGTCATTAAGCAGTGTATAAAAGAACATCAATTTTTTGCAGTTCTAGGTAAACTAGATCATTTATTTGAGATATTTAACTTAACATCAAAGTTTATTTTCATCAAAGTTTATTTTAAACTTTAAAAAATTAACACTTAAGTTGTTTGTGATTCATAACCAATACAGACATAAAAAGAGGAAAAGACTGCTAGGCTAGTATGCAAAAAAAATAATACACTTTACTATTACTAAAATAATAAACTATTTTGGTTTTGTATTTTTGGTGTTCAAGATTTTTTTAAACTATTGGACAGGAGTTTTTAGGGTTATGTGTATTCGGTTTCAAACTCGGAGGTTGGCATATGTGATTAAACTACATTTATCATTTCTAAGAATTGTAAGTTTAGCCAATGTTGTTTTTTTCCCCATGCATCCCATTAACTAACCCACAAAATTATTTATTGTGGTCTTATGCCAAACAAAGTTGGATGCTCCTGTTCTATAGCCCATAAGATATTAAAGAACTGACTCTCTGCCATCTTATTACTTCGTAGAGCGAAAACTGAAATACAATTTGTTCCTATAAATATTTCACCCCACTGTCATTAAAAAATGGATTAATAAAGAACTTGAAATTTCTTAAAATTATAAGAAACTGTTGTGGAAATGTTCAAACTCTGTCTTCTTTAATCTTCTGACATTAGGTAACACTGGCACCAACATTTAAATATTTTGGCATCCTTAAATTTAAAAAAAACAAAACAAAAAAACAAAAAACAAACCAGCATGATATAGACTTGCACTTGTAACAAAAATTTGCAAATAAATTTGCAGGTAACGCAACTCTTGAGCAGATTTATTTTTACAACCAAAGTGCAAGTCCTTATTAACTGCAGTTAGTTAAATCTATACACATTAAAAAAAAATCTAGTAGCTTATTTCCACCCTTTCAAATAAAAGTTAAACTTGTTTAACTAAGTCTATGATTTTTTAAAATAAAGAACTTTATTATCAAACAACGATTACATTAATCAACAATTTATGTTGATAAGAAAATTGTAATCTTTCAAGTGACTGTCCAGACTATGGTCCACTAAGATTTTCAAGGAAAAAGTTAATTTTATCAATCTAATAAGGCAAAAAATTTTACCTCATATATGTTTTCATGATGCCGACCACCAGATGACACTTCATTATATGTTGTATTCTTCTTAGTGTCATGGCTAGCATCTTCATCATCATCTTCATCATCCAATGAATCACCAGTACTCTGAAATTTTTTTTTCATCAGAAGGAAATATGTGTCGAATATTATAAACAATATTAAAATGACATTAAGGTGGCCAGCCATATTACTTGATTTTATTGAAGATGTGAGTGAAATGTTTTAAACAACCTGAAATCTTATGATTGTTTTAAAAAGAAATAAAAATTATTGGGATAATATAGCTTTTCGTTGCTTGACTTAGAATTGGGCTAGAAATGTATTTCTTTTAAAACTCATTGAAGTGCAAGCAGGGCTTTTTACATTTTGATTTGCTAACATTTTTTTGCTTGTCAGGAAAAAATGTAAATGTTACCAAATTTTTTCTTTGGGGGGGGGGGGGTAAATTCGGTGTGAAAAGATATCTACTAATAACTTGAAAGCTAACTAAAATCTTATTAAAAGTATCCTCTTAAGATCGGAAGAAGCATTTTTTGCTTGGGCGGAAAAAATGGAAATCTTCCCAAATTTTTTCTTTGGGGGGGGGGGGGTAAATTCAGTGTGAAAAGATATCTACTAATAACTTGCAAGCTAACTAAAATCTTAATGAAAGTATCCTCTTAACTTACTTCAGTTGAAGGCATACAATGAACCACTCCAGTGCTCCTGCGCTTTTCTCTAAGCTTCCTCTTATCCTTGGGAAGTTTTCCTTTCATGTGATTAGGCCTAGTCCTTTTGTCTTTAAGCCTGGCTGCAGCTCCTCTGGTTGGGGATTCATGATCTCCAGGCAGGTGGCTGTGGCTTGATAATCCTAAGCCATCCGTGGGTATAGACTCACCATTATGGTGATCTCCACCCTTTCCCTCTCTGTCCTGATCCCCTCCGTCTACATTGTCAGGAAGCCCACGGTGAGGGAGTGCACCTCTGCCGCTGTGCACTCTGTGAACTCTTATTCTGTTCCTGCGTGCCATATTGTCTAGATCATCCATATCCAAGCTCTCTTGGCTTACTGAACTTGAAGCCATGGTTTCTGCTATCTTGGGTTAATTTTAATTCATATGCTTCTTTTTGAGAGCATTAAATTGTAATAGCAGTCAGTTTAACAAGCTAAGCAATTTCTTAATATAGTGTATTTTTGTATGGCCTACTCGAGTTTCAATCCTATTAAATTGAAAGAATAATTGAATATATCAATTATTTGTTAAGTAAATTAGTAATATAAACACATTACTCTTACAGTAGAACCCAGTTATGTCGACGGCCTCAGGGTTTGCCAAAAAGCGTTGAGATAACCGATGATCAAGATAACCAAAAACAAATATGGTGGCAATATATTAACATATGCTTGAAATTTCTTTATGTACATGATGTGCATTAATAAATGCAGCTACTTCAGTAAAAAAAAAATAATAATAATATTTTAAATATTACAGTTATTTAGAGCAAATTTAAAAAATGAAACCAGAATCAACTTTTTAACTTTATAGTACTTTTTGAGCTACGAATTTTTAAAGTGCAAGTTTGTTTGGTATTTTCTACTATGGACGAAGCCTCCACATTTTGTGACCTTATTCTGCTGATTGTGTCTTGCACAATGACAATAAAGTTTATATTAGCCAACTCATCCCCTTATTACTAAAATACTATTTAGGGACTAATTATTTTGAACTTTCAACTTTGGCACATGATTATTTAAATTAAAGCAGTCCCTGACCAATGGTTTAATAGTTTTTGCAGACAGCAAACACTTATGGATGAAACTCATTATGCAAGTGACTGTGAATGACTGCCCATGACAACGTTTTGCACACTGCAAATTATGATCATTTATAATATGGACTCTACCGGGTTTTTAAACTTTGAATTAAAACATCATATTTATTTAAATTACTTCTAAGCTCATTCTAAAACACAAGTCCTGAATTTTGATAAATAAATAATTAATTTTAATTATGAAAAACTTATTTATTTGTTGATTGCTATTTCTTCTTGCGGAGTTCAAAAGCCGGCGATTGGTCATGGGGATCGAGATAACAGGTTAAGTGGCAAACTTGGCTGCCTCTTGTGCTCGAGATATCAGGGTTCGGCGACATAACCGAGGAGAAAATGCTAAGACAAAGAAAGAATTTGGCGGTTCCACTTCAAAAACGTTGACATAACAGGGTTGGCGAGTTAACGGAGATCAAGATAACCGGGTTTGACTGTAATTACAATGATAAATTAACACAACCTAATCATCACTAATTTATATAATATATTATCTCAGTTATTAGCTAAAACAAATCCCCTCTACAATTCAACATTTTTATTAAGGTTAATAGTGACATTGAAAATAGTGCAATTATGATTAATCCAACTTACATATTAGAAAGTAAAGTAGAGGGATCTAAGAGTCCTCTTTTAAAAATTATTAGGCCAGTGGTTCCCAATATTTTTTACTCTCAGATCCTTTTTTAAAATCCTTTTTTAATATTCATTTTCTAAGGGAGAGCCCCTATGTTTAACCAGTTAATAGTGTTAAGAATTTTCCTGGAGCAAAGCATGCAAAGCACTGAGGACTCTGCACCGCACAGGTTGGGAACCACTGTATTATGTTATTAATACTAGTACTATTGGTTATAAAAAGACAAAATAGATCTGTATTCATCAAGAGAAACATAAAGCCATGCATGATGTAGTAAACATTGTAGGCCTCCTGGCAACAGTCAACAACAATGCTTTATGCTTTTAGTTTGATTTAAAGAATGGTGTCTACAAGAGATGTAATTAGTAGGCTAACTAGTCTTTGAAGTGATGTAGCACAGTGACATCACTCAGATTCACTGACAGTCCCAAATGTCTTGTATAACCGCCCATGGCTAAAGACAACATGCAAATAGTCCATCAGACAAAACCCTATTTATATGTTATGCTTTAATATTTATAGTAATAGAGCCTACCAAAAGAAACAGCTACTTCAGATACAAGATGAAGATGTGGTCACTCATGCCCATGCTGACATGTGAGTTAGAGGAATGTCTCATTAAAATTTGGCCAACAACTTATATTGGCAAAAAGTTAATCCAAGACACTAAGTTAAAAAAAAAGTTTGTATTGCTTAAGTTAAAGTAAAGGCTAGAATAAGAATAAGCCATGGTCTTGTCTTATATATGAAAAAAATAATTAGTCATAATTACTATACTATACAGTCTATTAGTTTCGTGATTCATATCATTTAGTAAGGCAGAAGGGCTAGGGGCCCAATTGTAGCCAATTAAAAAATGTGTCAAAAATGTAAAAATTAATAAATAATTAGGCTCAATCATGAATGCTAGGCTAAAGATTGGGCCTAATTGCTTACTTGGCCTTAGTATTAAATCAAGATGATGAGACAAGACACTTAAGCAGACAGTTTGAAGTATCAGTAGGTCTACTTAGACATTATAAGACTTAATCTATAATAATCTTTAATCAGAGGGTATTAAACACTGGCTTACTGGATGCACATTTTTAATAATTTTTATAATAAACTAATAATAGTTTACTACTTAACTTAGTACTTCTTAGACTCGGTAAGATTGGTCTATGCTTCATAACAAACTAGCATCTATCAACTAGTCATTGTTACGGTATCATTATAACTTAAATCTATAACTTAAGGCGAGTAGATTTACCACATGTAAAAATCACGGGCATTTTAGATCACGCTGGGCTAGTCTAGTTACTGAGGTAGTAGGGAGTAGAGTCAAGTCTTTGTCGCTGCTCCTTGCTTTCCTTCTCTCGTCTCTATCTTCCTTGTCGTCGTCGATGACACAGCGAACACCTGTCTATCTAACCTTTACACACAGGTTCCTGCACGGCCTAACGAGACGCCCTGTGAGTGTATCAGAGACGGCCTATTTTCCTGGTGAATAAGTTCACTAAGTTACTACCGCTAACTGAGGTGATCGTGTCAACTGTCGTGTGTGTACCGCCGTTAACTACCTGCTTGCGCTGCGTTGCAATTACCGTGTTGTTCTCTAGCAGTCAGAAAATAATCCGGCATTAACGCGTCCAAACCTTTTTATCCTTTAGGTGAATGGGCATCTGAAACAAATCATTAATACCTATTTCGCCGCAAATGATATGCCGGTATAAATCAGCTGACCATTCTTTTGAAGTGCTGGCGGCACTTCAAAATCGCAACACAAACATGCCCCCCAAAAAGTCTGCCTTCGGCCTCGTTTTCAAATGCCTTTCATTCATGACATCAGCGCATTACGTCATGGTGCTTTTCCTGTGACAGAATTTAAAGAATGTCACTCTTGGACTTTAGTCAGCATATTTTTGTCATTTAAGTGTGCTTTTACCAGCTGGCGACCTAAGGAAAATAATTTCTGTATCAACACTGTAATGATGTTCTAAACAATTTTAAAACTACACTTCTCAAAAAAGCCGAGTTCAAATTTTATTGAGGATCATGAGAATAAGCTTTAACTTTCTTTACACAACGCCCCCGCTTTGTCGAGAGACAGTTATTGATCGAGTTGTTATTATTAGCCCTCACAAACTGTTTAGGAAGATATAATTTGAGTTCTTACCTCTATTTTTCACTTCATACATAAGTAGACCTACTACTTGCATTTTTTTTTTTTTAAATCTGGGGGGTGCACGAAAGTCTTACAATTAAGATAATCATAATCGTCGATAGTCTTTCAAATGTTCTCAGACACCAACATTGTCAACATTTGCTGAAAAGTTAACATGTAGTAGCCTACTTAAAAAAACAAAAATTAAAACAAAATTATAGTTGATAAAATGTTTCCAGTTAAAAACAGCAACTCCAAACTGAAATCAACAAAATCATACATCATACAGCTAGAGTTAGTTGAACAATAAATATTCACTAATACAACATGTCCGTGGCGTTCTCTTATGTTTTCTTTGTATATTTCGAGGCATATCTTCATACATACAGAATACATATACCGTAACTAATTTCTTCTATGTGTGTGTGTGCTCCCGTGGGTCTTACTATAAAATGATTTCAGATTGCCATCGCTCCCTTCTTTTGGACACACCTGGTAGCCATGAAGTTAAAAAAAAAATAGCTTGGAAACAGACACATTCTGGATTTCACGTGCAAGTCCGACACTTATAAGCTCATTGTATAGAAGTGGTGGGTTCAAATCCTAAATTCAAATTTTGTTGGTGATACAAAACACTGAAAGCAGGGGTGGGGTGGGTAAAGTAATAGGGATTGAAAACCTTGTTTTGCAGACTGGCAGTGTCGGCTCAAGGTACCAGCAACTCGGGCGCCACGTGCTTAGGGCGCCATCAACAATCTTCCAAAATAGAAAAAAGAAAAGAAAAAAAAAAGCATTGTACGTGGGCGCCATGAAAGAAAAATGTATACTTCAATAAAGAAGATTCTCTGATGTAAAGGCCAGGGGGGAAAAGCCATCCGTGTGCTAATTGTTCATACTGTCCACGGTGTGCTAATTGTTCATACTGTCCACGGTGTGCTAATTGTTCATACTGTCCACGGTGTGCTAATTGTTCATACTGTCCGCGGTGTGCTAATTGTTCATACTGTCCAATTACAAGTTAAGAAAAACAATATTATTGTTCATTATTCGTTGAAAAAAAACAAACCAACCTAGGTGATAAACTCATTATCTAACCCTCTAGTTCTTTCCTTGCACAAATTTGTATGATTAAAAGGGGTGCCAAATTTCAGGCCCGTTCTTAGGCATACGCTGACTACGCATCCGCGTAGGGCTCCGAACATGAGGGGGCCCCCGTGAGGCGCCCTCGATCCCCCCAGTTTTTTTTTAAACTGGCACTGCAGCCGTCTTTGTCACTCACGTTAACTTCCTCATCCTGAAATTTATCATTCTGAGTTGAATTCCGAGGCAGGGGAAGGGAAGCAGCAGGGGGGAGCTTTGGGGAAATAAGTGCCACCAGTGCTATTCTTAGGCATATAGGCAAACTAGGCAACCGCCTAGGGCTCCAGTACCACCTTCATGTCCATATATTTCAGAAGTACACATTTTCTCTAGTGGCGGTATTATCAATATGGTTAGTGGTTACACGCGAGCAAAGAGGAAACATTGATGAAGGCAGAATGGAGGTGCCGCAGTGGTGGGTAGTGTTCTCTCCTCAGCTCGAGGAAGCTCCACCCCCGGACCCCCCCTTCCGGGGCCCCCAACCTACGCTCCATGCTTACGGCCCCCAAACTCCTAAGAACGGCTCTGCAAATTTAAGTTTGCCCGGAGCGCCAGCAACCGCATGGCCGGCCCTGGAGACTAGACCGTTCAGCCCCCCACACCCGCATATAAGTAGTGACGTAGATAGGGCTAGTGCCACCCGTGGTGGTTCACGATTTTTGCCGCCACCCTTCCATGAAAAAAAACAAAAAACCTCTCCAATATAAAGGAAAAAATGGTCACTTGGGTGGAATGCCCCTTTACTAACCAGCGTTTCTTTCAGAAATATCCCCCCCCCCCCCGGGGGGGAAGCACTTCAGATTTTTTTTT